CGCTATTTGGTCAGTAAAATTGATAAAATAACGACCTAAAAATTACTGTGGAACATAAGATAAATTCAGGACTTCACTGAAATCACAAAAGATGATTCAAGAAGGCTTTTGCTGGGAATAAAGTCCATCATAGGAGTACCTCTAATAATGCATTCATTATTCGGGTCATTGATGGATTCTTTTTATCATATAGAAGAAATTATATAAAGCTATGCTGCATCTGAAATGAACTCCTTAGGAAACAGAGATAAATTTACAAGCTCTGATGAAATGTCAAAAGAGAATAACTAAAGATGCAAATATAGATAGAATATCAAGATGGGTTAGAAAAGAACTTTTGATGAATAAAGTATTAAAGTGTATCAAATGAGTATATACCTAATAATAGTAAAGTAATTATGCATGACATTCTCTGTCATAACAGATTACTTTTGCTATTGATGTTGTTCCCCTCGTGCTTTGGAGTCAGATTAATTTCTTGAAAACCAAAGATCATGGCTGTATAATGCTACACGTACAAAGACTCATAAAAAAATTGTTTTCAGATATAAAATTATAACGGAAGATACCATTAGAAAAACTAGCCGAAAAGTAACCCAAACTTGATGAATGCGTAAGCTCCAAAAAAATCTAGATGGAAAGAAAAATTTGACAAAATAGAAAATCTTCACATGTTTTCGCTCTTCTATTTTAGCCAATTGTTTTGTAGAGAAATGTAGCCCGTATGGAGTTCCTCTATTTGAAGGAATTACGTCTCAAGATACTCTTTTAGTATTTTGTAATAATTTAGAAATGTTGTAAGTGATCATTTAATATTAATACTACATAATATTAAATGGTTAAATACATAATTCGGAAAGTTTCTCTTACTATTACTAAAAATAAAAGCATAATCAACAGAGTCCTTAGTAATAACAGTATATACAAGCACATAGAAATAATTTACCAATTGATATCTAACTTTATAACCCAAGTAATCAAGTCCAGGAACACAGCTCTCCAATTGGAAAATCAATGAGTTTCAATCTAGAATTTATTCTCAAATAAATTAGTAATTATGTTAACAATGATTCTTTGATAAGTGTACTGATCAAATTACTTGATGTTGCTTATGAGTAATACAAACATAACTAGGCTTGTACTTTAATCGACTAGATTATGTGCATGGTGCCAAAAGTGTGGTACAAAATCGTGACTAACACAAGACTATGTGCGCATACATACATACATACATACATATATATATGTATATATATAGCTAATGGCGTAGACTTGAAGATGGTGAAGTTACCAACATTAACAAAAGTGTGATATATAAAAAATGGTCAAAGCAGATACCCACTAACCAGAAACTTGTCTTCTATGGCAAGAACTCAAGGTTCGTTTGCTTAGAAACTGCGAAGAATAAATATCCCAATTGTTAGATAAGGGGACAGAAACTAAAAGCCATGTAGCTTTTTACAGGTTCAAGAA